TTTCTAGCTAGCGTAAACACAAGTCAGGCGATAGCCGTGTCATCAACAATGACAAACCTTTAAGCTTCAACATAAGTTTTGTGCGCCTTTTGCACGTTAAAATATGCAACTGGCCTCCACCATTGGACGGTTTTACACCTGGCCTGCAGGATGGTTTTGCCAGACACACTGGAGTTAACTAAACAAAAGAAAAGGACTAAATCTAGCACTGGCTCTGCTGCGTCTTGAAACGCTGAGTTACGCTCCATTGTTTATAGGCATTTTTGTGTATCTAGCCCTGATCTGCCCATGTAATTAGCATTAAGATGTTCCCTAGTGACTTCTAGAGGTGACGTTATGTCAGGTCATATGAGTAGTTATCCTTACGGGAGAACCAACACCCAGATATTGCTATTACCGCGTGCGTTTGTTCCGCGTCACCTTTGTTGACATTTCAGGTCGGTCGGACCACGAACCGGCGGAACTCACGGTCACCTTTAATTCCCAGCCATGTTTTGCGCAGCCGACTGTGCTTCTCAGCGGCCCCTCACATGCCCCAGCGAGGTCGGACGGGCTGGTTACTAGCGCCACCTATTCACAAGCCCAACCTCAGCTTCAGGGCACCGCTACAACGCAGCTGAGCGACTCGGTGGTAGCTTTGCTGCGGCATCTCGGCCTGCAAAGGCACCGCCACCATCGAGGCGCTCGAGCTGAACGCATATCCAATCGGCAGATCAGGGTGCGTGTTACCTAACGGACTTTCTTCAAGATCGGACACGCCACCAAGACGCAGAAGCCCGCTCCCTGCCACGTCTGACAACGCCAGACCAGGGCAGAGGGCGACACCTGTCTCGTCCACCTCGCATTATGACCTGTCAAACCCGGCACGCAGAGATGCGGCATAACCTTGCAGACATCACCAGGCTGAAAAACCCGTCACCCAGAGGGGGTGTCCCTCGTCAAGCACGTGAATGATGAGAACAATCTGCTTGTCGTCGAGAGACTAGAAATATTCTACCGCGGAAAAACGTGGCTGAGTGAGATAATTGAGGACCGCATGCTCCTGTTTCCGGGACGTGTACGTTGGAAAAAGATCAACAGACTGGAATATCTGGCCGAGGTTTTGCCATCATATGCTGTGACACGCTGTAACTGGAGTTTCTGTCAGTGCCATTCACAGGTACTTCACAGAAGACACTCTGGCTTAAGCTCAAGTGCTGGATGGATATCATGGTCGACGTGTTAGGTGCTCGTCTTTTGCACCTTTTCTGTGACATTCTGTTATGCTTATCCGTGAGTTTAAGATGTTTACTTGCATTCACAGACTCAGTTATAGCGATTTCATTAACTAATTCGTTTACAAATATGAATTCAGTAATGTGTGTATGAAGAATTTAGCGCAAAATCTGCCTTTTGTAGCACAAAGCCTAACTTGTGTTAGTCACCCGACCCTCTTGCCAACGTTCTTGCCTCGTCCTGAATCCTCGCGATGCCCCCGCTTTGGACTGGCAGTGCGAATTTTCCACCTAGCAAACGAGCTGACTCACTTGAAGTACTCCAACTTCTCAAAAGGTGTCTTATTGGTCGGTGCTCTGTTTTCAGTACCAAAATGTCGTTATATGCTCATGTTTTGACCTTTTCTGATGTTTTCTCGCATATTCATTTATTTATAGTGTTATCAGTTCCCCTGAGCGCGTCGCCACGCGCGAGACGCGAGCGCTGCTTGTCTCTTCACGGGGTACCTCACGGTTCTTTCTTGCGCGCAAGCGCGTGCGTGTATGGAGAAGGGTGTTCGGGTGTGTACCCGATTTGTCTCCGCCCAACAGCACCCTTCTCGACTAGATCGTGACGTACAAGCTGATTCGTCACGGACCTGGCCTTCCACCGCCACTTGAGTGTTTGACGTGTCCGCCGACAGCCAGCATGCATCGAAGCCTGGCCCAATTTTGCACTTCGCTGGCCATCGTCCGTGTACTGGTGCTTGTTGGCACCCCCACCCAGTCAGCTCTACCTCCAACCGCGTG